GGAGGTTCCCTCCGAACACCAGGAAACACTTCACTGTGAGGGTGACTGAGCCCTGGCACAGGTTGCCCAGGGAGGTTGTGGAGTCTCCCTCCTTGGAGATATTCAAAAGCTGCATGGACATGGTCTTGGGCAACTGGTTGTAGGTGGCCCTGCTTGAGCAGGGGGGGTGGACCAGATGACTTCCAGAGGTCCTTTTCAACCTCAAGTAGTCCTTGATTCTGTGATACACTCCTCAACTCTTACTTAGAACGGGGCAGATACAAGACAAACCTAGAAACAGAAAAAGCTGTAGATACAAAACCTGCTATATTTAATTTGAAAACCCTCTCGTCTATGCCGAGCAGTATTTTTGGTTTTCCCTGTAGCATTACTTTCTATACAGCCTTCTATACACTCGTTACTTCCAGTTACTATTTTAAGTCTATTATAGAAAAAGCTTTTAAAAATTATATAGTTTCAGAGTAATAGGTATAGAGAACCATGCATAAGTATTCTAGACAAAAACACCAAGCAGACTTAAGATAATCTTTGATAATGCAGAACAGAAAAAAAAACCCCAGTCAGCTCAAACCAGAAACAGAATAGATAAATAGTATAACACAAATTATCTTAAACCAGTGACTACCAGCCTCTGCTTCAAGTTGACTGGACACCGGCTTCTCTGACTCCTTGGTTCTGGATGTCAGGCCATTAAAATTAAACATTATTTACATTATAGATTCACATACACATACCTATGAATAGACTTTCATTATTTACTCATATTTAAATGAAAACACGATCCTAAGTTGGCCCGCTGGAATAGTACATGAATAGGAAAAGGTCAATGGAACCTTCTGAGTTAAGCAGGAAGATAAACTATGAATTTAACAGTGTACCCATGTTTCAATTCTCTGAATTTCACCTCCAATTAAGTGAAAGACAAGCACAAAGAACCATGGTGTTTCATCTGAGCAGGTTCATATGTCAAGATTTTAGTCATCCTTACTCAAGGCTTCATTTTTCCCCTACAGGAATACTTGAGATACTCAAATGTAGAATTTTTGCATCACATCCAGGGCATACACAATCACATCCACAGACTCACACAAAACTGTGTTACAGAGTTACAGAGAAGGTTAACATTGCTTTTGAGTAAATTATATCCCTGTCGTGGTTTAACCTGGCAGGCAGCCAAATACCACGCAGCCGCTCGCTCACTCTCCCCACCCCAGTGGGACAGGGAGAGAATCGGAAGGGTAAGAGTGAGAAAAACTTGTGGGTTGACATAAAGACATTTTAATAGAACAGAAAAGGGAAAATAATAATAATGGTAGAATATACAAAATGAGTGATGCACAATGCAATTGCTCACCACCCACGCTGACCAATAACCAAGTAGCGATCGCTACTTCCTGGAACACGCCTACCATTCATATACTGAGCATGACATCACATGGAACACGCCTACCATTCATATACTGAGCATGACATCACAAAATACCCCGTTGGCCAGCTGGGCCAGCTGTCCCAGCTATGTTCCCTCCCATCTTGTGCACTTGGCAGAGCATGGGAGCTGTCCTTGACTAGCAGGGTACTTAGCAACAACTGAAAACATCAGTGTGTTATCAACATTCTTCTCATACTAAATCCAAAACACAGCACTAGGAAGAAATTTAACTCTATGCCAGCCGAAACCAGGACAATCCCCCAATGACTGGAAAGGAAGAAGAGTTTCTACAAAGGCCATGAGTATTCAGGTAAACACCTTTGCCCCTGTGTCTACCACCTGAAGTAAAAAATGGTGTGCCTTATTAAAAGCAACAAAAAAGGGGAAGATGCGCCATCCTCTGAGCCAACATTTTATAACATGATGTTGCTGTCTTTCATTGTCATTCCTAAAGAATTCCTACAACAAACTTGTTAGAAGTGCCGTCATGTCAACTGCAACACACAATCACCCTGCCATACAGCACTCTTAAATTTCAATATTGCATAGGTCTTCTGCGACAAGAATTGTGAGAGCTGCTAGTGCTCCCAGGCAGTAGCATTTTAATTTCAAATAGAAGAGATCTTACGATGTACTGAGGAGTTATGGCACTGTCTTTCAAGATGACTGAAAGATACAGAAGCAGATAAGGAGATGACTTCCTATTGATAGAAAAGCAACTCAGAGAAACAAAGAGAACACATCATGTTGTCTTCTACATCAAATATGCACCAAAAAGATATTCAGTATCTTTTGAGAGAGATCAGATGCAAAATGCCTCTGGACTATTGTTACTACCAACTTTCAAGTTCCATAATTTGCCTGCAAAGGATTTGCGGTTACCATTAATCCTATTTAAGTTACTTCCCAAGCGCAGGCTGATCACTGCCAACAGCCACCAGAATAACAGACTTCTGTATCATAGAAATAAGAAAGCATGAGGTATATGAAGTTCAAACCTATTGCCATTAACTGCTTTGATTTAAAATACTTCAGGTCTTCATCCGAACACAGGACAAACAGTTTTTAGCAGTCTCTTCCTCTCAGTGATTATATGAGAATTCTGTAAGCTATAAGTGACAAAATGCTATAGGCAAAACTGAATAGTTGAATATATTTTCCTAAGCTGTTATTTTGAAAGCATTGACCAACCCAAGTTCAAACATTAATTGCTTCAGATAAATAACGTTGGAATGATTTTACCCTTTTGATTAAAACTTCCTTACGTTGGATGTTTACATGAACTGTCAATAACTGCCAAATGCCACGTAAGCTAGCTACCCTTGCCTACACAAACAGCGCTCACACATATACACGACGTCAAACAAAACGGACAGTTACAACAATGAACAAACTATTTTATTTTTGTTGATAGATAAGAACATCCCATTGAAAATAAAGAATAAAAAATATATCCTGCTACAACACTTTGAACGCTTGAATCTCACGCTATAGCACATGGTGAAATTCTGGTGCGGCAACATCACAGTAATCCCTGTGCACATGGGTGCACAGAAAGCCTTGAACAAATATTTATACCCATAATAGAGCCATGTATAAAAATGTCATCTCATAAAGGCCAAACAGAAAATTTAAACATCTTTGTTTTTCTTATGTCAATGGCAACGTAAAAAATGAAAACTGTTTTCAGTCAATTACTTCCACGTAAATTGTATGAGATCTTTTTACGCTAAAGAACTCTGAAATTCAGAATAATAAAGGGTGGAAGAAGTAAGGTATAAACAATACACTGAACATGTGGGGCATGATATTTTCCTCAATATATAACTAACTTTCATACGGTTACACCAACAATCAAGTCAGTATCTTCCTAACACAAAGAGAAAATATTCTGTTTCTCCCATCAACGCTCTCACCTTTTCTTACTATAAAGACCATGCCTGTATTATACATCTAAGCATACATGAACCACAAAAGATATGCAAAACAAATCAATATAGATAACCTTTAGTGTCGAATGTCTAATGATGTAATAACAAAAACAATTCTAAAGGCCAAATGACTTGCTAAATTAAAATTGCAGTCACTTAAACTAACAAAATACTTGGACACTTGTGAGCCACAAAATTTATTATTTTGCAGCAGTATCTCTGCTGAAACCTGAGGAGTATCAGACCATTGGTAAAGCAAGGCATTTTCAGAAAAGGAATTTGTAAAAAATACATTTATACTATATGCTTTCATATAAAAAGGCAGTAAGAAAAGTAATAAAACCTACCATTTTAGGACTACACCTTCCCTAGCAAATAGTTTTTATCACTTGCACTATTACATACAGTACATTCAGCTTCCTACACAGAAAGTATATTTTCTTGTCCCTGATGTATATTACAATTGGCAGTGACAACAAACTGCTTTATTATCACTACTCATTCTTGCAGCTTATACAAACAGCACCAATTTTACCCAAAAAAGGCTTATCAGTTACATAGTAGCATTTCCTTATAGGAAATATAAGCCCAAAACATCAGAACCAAATGTGTCTTTCCAGAAATATACCAGAATATATGGCTCAGAATTAAGGGATGAATAACCAAGAGTATTGCATAGTACAGGGATCTCACCTGTATGAATAAACCCACTCTTTGATTGTTTGTCACCTCCTGACTTCAAGAATGGGCAACAAATTAAACAGGTGTTAATGAATATGAAAGTAGTACACAACTAAATTTACTGGTAAAAAAAAACCCAAGAAATTGTACAGGTCTCTCTGGCACAGTGCAAAGTACACATTAAAAAACTGAATACATATGTACAGTGTGTATGTATAGTTTTATATATATATATAGTATGTATTTCCCCGACACATACATGTGTATATATAAAAAGCATGAACACACATATCCATGCTAAACTTAGCAAAAAGATGGAATGTTTAAAATGTGGATGCGTTGTTCCAGTTAAATCAGACTGTCCCAGAAATGGCTGTTTATACAGCCAATATGCCCTTCCATGAAACAGAAATATTTATTGCCTGCATAAATTGACAATATACCGTACATATTCCTCATAACTTACCAAAAGACCGATCATCACACTTTATAAAAGCTTATATTTGTATTAAGCCCTCTCCTCCATAACCCTTCCCTCCCCACACCTCCATCCCCCCATGACCAATTCATATGGCTATTCCCTTTATGGAAATCTAGGAAGAGTAATAAGTAGAATAATATAGTAGAGTATCACTCTGCTGGAGAACCAGACACAGTATTCACTACAGAGATGAGATCTTCTATTTTAAATTTTTCTTGCAATATAAAAGTTTACAGCCACCCCTGTAAAAATTATTAACACCTGATGCTGGTTTGTTTTATTATTTTCCTTTGGGATTCAGCTGTTTTGGTTCTGAATATGAACACGTTGGCTGAAGTCTGTAACAGAGAATGCACTTTTCAGGATCCGGAGAGCACTGTTACCCGACCTGCCCGTCCCCAGTATGATCAACTGTCCTTTCCTGCAAACTTTCTGAAGTAGCGCACAAAACACTAGAATGTAATACAGATTTTTCTGCCTCCCTCTTCATCCTGAATGTCTTTTTTACATTTTGAGGGCATTTTCAAAAAATAAAGATGATTTATATCAGCAAAATAGTTTAAAATAAAGGCGATGGCTGTGAACCTGAGAGCTTAGTGTGATACGAACACACGTATTTGTGGTATCCCCACTGGCTAGTACTTTCCTTGTTTAAGTCTTTCAATGTGGTAGCACAACTTTAGGGCAGGCCCCAGCTTCAGTCCCATATATTTCATTATCATATCACTCCTCAGTAAGAGTAGTGCCTTCCCATCAATTTCCTGCAGAAGGAAGAGAATAAACACAACAACATACAACTACTTTAACAAGTTGCATGGTAAAACTGGAAAGTACATTATATTTGTTTATACTGCAGTAAAAATTTATCTACTATATATAAAACAGTAGCTTAGTATAATTTGATATTTACAGATGGCCATTGAAATTTAATTTATTTTAGTATTTTTTAATGTATGATGAAGGTATTTAAGATGCTAAAGAAAATTACAGTAAGTAAAAGAAACTGACCAAACAGCCCTCAAAATTAGGTACCAGCTGTGAAAAAAAGTGAATGGGTCAAGGGGAAAAAAAAAAGTTGCAAAGGAAGGTCTGTGCAGTTTGAGATTAAATGATCCAAGCACTGAGGCCTTGCACTGAACCTTGAACACAGCTGTGGGAGGATTCTGGCATGCGCATGCAAACAGTCACATGGAGGAAGAGGTTACAGACCATCTAAATCTGTGAAATAAGACAGATCCATGTCCAGGTTAAACCAGACAGATTGTTAGGATCAAGACCAAAGACAACTTAGTCAGATTTCAACTGCCTGGTTGAGAAGCTGCTGAAATGTGACAGTCCTAAGCTCTTAGTAGCACTACACATGTAGACAGGCAATTAGTTCCTTAAAATGCCATAAAGAAAACCACTCTGTCTTATTTTTTTTTAAACATAAACCTGACAAAACAAGTTACATTAGTCTTGTTATACAACTAAGAATAAAACATAAGACAGGAAGCTCAGTTAAAAGTTATTTTGAGTTTTCCTTCAATCCAGCTTTCTCAGATTTATCTGTTAGTAGGAGCTGGTGCAGAACAAGGGTGAAATACTACTAAAGAGCAAGCCAATCTCTTTTTGGAGGGCCATATATACAATGAAATAAGAAAGCAGCTCTTTGCTGAGCAACCTGCCATAGAAAAGCACAGCAAGAAGGAAGAGGGAACACCAAAAAAAAAAACTGTCAGAGTTTATCACTCAAAATACAACATCTAGTTAGATCTTACGAAACCGTACACATTGTTTTTCAAAACAGATGAATTCAACATTTCAATTGATTCTTTGAATTTTAGTATTAATGACCAAATATAAAGCTAATGAGGCGTAACAGCATCTCTGCTTTGGGATAATCGGTCTCCAAAACAGACTGTCTCAGAGACGTATCGTCTATGTAGGCCAAATGCCCCATACTGTAAATAAGAATGTCATCTTCTCTAGAGGTACCAGGGATGACGGGGGTACCATGGATGTTGGCCATTGGAACTTGGATATTTCCAGTATTGGCATTATGCCATATAAGCTGGAAAGCAGTGGGTATTTACTTCAGTCTAACAAGACTGGAACACAGAGAAAAGATACTGCAGGAGGAGTTTCAGGTGGAAAAATAATTTTCAGCCTCCCTCTAACATATGAGTAGCGTCTACTCTAGCTTCAATTGCAAATAGAGCAATAGACATGAAAGCTGGATTTTAAGAGACTAACACGATACACAATCTACTAGAACAGAATGATATGCATCATACATGTCTCCTAAAGAGTTCTGCATGTGGAGCTAGTGCCTGTGGATCAGCTTCTTTCACAAAACGCATTACTTCCTCTATTGACCAGGTGGAAGGATCCTTATTCAATATTCTTGAAGGTTCCCTTTTTAGTGAATTCAGATCCGGTCCAGTTGTGGAACTTGCAGCTTTTAGTATAAGAGTATTGTGAAAGGAAGAAGTATCACTAGTCTATACAAGGATAACACATTTCATTTTACATAAGACGTTCTTAATATTAACATGCGGCTTTTATTATGCATTCTTTGCAATACATTAAAATGAAAGACATTTTATTTTCCTCCAAATAATATTGAACTGTTCCATTTGTCTTTAAATGCCTTATATAACTGCAAATATTTACAGCAGCATAAACATTAGCACTATGACATACCTAGAGGGATTAGTTCAACTTGTACTTGGCTCCTGGGTCCCAAGATGCCATTAATTGTGAATGTGGCAAAGGCAAGTTAAGCTGTGCAGACAGAGGGAAGGACAGGAGCAAACCCTATCCCCATATTTCAGCAACACGGTAATAGTTGATAAGATGCTCAGGAAGTGAGCTGCGTGTTATTAGCCCTCCTCGGTCTGGCCTGCTGCAGGGCCCATAACAGCAGTGAAAAGAATGTGCAGCAGGCAAGACCCCCCCAGCTTGCACCACAGTATTAGTTCTAACAGGCTTAAGTTCTGCATTTGCAGTTACGTTAGCAAGCCTGACACGCTTGGCAACAGCGCAACATTTCACTCCATATGCAAGCTTTTCTACGGCAAAGAACTTCTTTATTCATAACTCTCAGACTTTGTATGTTAATAAAAGCAGTTACATACTTTGGAAAGTTTAGTCATATAGCATACCTTCAATCCGCCTCTGTATTCGATTCCTACTAACTTCATAGTAACTGCTGCTCCCAGCAGAGCTCAAGGACAGCCTGCGCAGGATTAGGGCTGAATTTGAGGTAGCAGTCACTGGCTGAAGGGAATTTCTGTAATATGCTGCACTCCCTGAAGTACGATATTCTGTGGAATTTCGACGGGTCGGGCTTGAAGGATTTACAGAACTAAGTGCAGAATCCATAGAGTCCTCAGAAAATCGGTGTTCTCTGGAAGTGCTGTTTTCTTCTATAGGTAATGTTTCTGCTACACAAAAAGCAAGTATCAATATGTTCAAAGTGATGGACATTATACCTTTGTTATTTAACTCCTTACTATGTTCTCTTGAAGATACTGACAGATTGTAAATCTGTTAACAAATCTCCTGTGAGGCAATCGCTGCTGCTGAATGTTTGCCCCTTTTCCTCAAGTAATCATTGGGCTCTTACTGTATTTTTAAAACATTTTTTGTAGCAAAAGATTTAATACGCCAAGTTTGAGACAGCTTTCCATAAATCATTTCAGTTGTATTTGTTAAATACCATGAACAGGGAAGCGAAAGAAGAAATTTTGGGGGGTAAAATTGTCTGATGTTAATACCGACACATCAAGCAATCTTAGTCAAGCATTTTCATTATCTTTTTTTAAACATATTCTCAAAAAGCTAACCATTAAGAGTGTGTTACGTTTATCTTGCTAGAAATTTTTACTATAAATAAAAACTCTCATGTTAACTAACAATTGTTTAATTTGTTCTAAACAGCAGAGGGAGTCACTAACTTCATAAAAAAAACAAGTGGACAATTATCATCTCTAGATCCCAATATGTTCAGACACAGAGGCCGTCATTAAAAATTGAACAGGTTACAGGCAAAGCCACAGAAGGCTGCAAGTGCCAGGTACGGAACACTAACGTAACATGTTTTGACCACAACGCTGTATCTAGATACAGTTAGTTCTTTGCACAGGGCAGGGTCTATGAACACAGGCTCTGGAAAGCTAAAGATATATGTAAATTACTGAACCCACTGAGCAAGTTAACAAAAAAAACCCCAAAAAACACAGGTCTCAGGAGGGAATATAACAACATTTTAGTTCTTATCACTTATCAGCCAATTTCTACTCTGCAAAACACTAACAATGCCTGCTTAGAAGACTTGTGAATTTTTAGAGCCTGTCAATACTGTTTCTAAGCCACACGAGTCAGCAGGTCCCTTTCCCTGTGCCGTGAGACAGGAGCCAGGTTTGGTTGATTACTGAAAATTCCACTCTCAGTCAACTGAATTCAGGTCTGATTGGGAGAAACATGCTATGTGATGGGGGAAAAAAAAACCCAAATCAATGAGACCACCGCTCCATTCTCTAGCAATCATATGTATTTTTATCTGTTTGCCAATCTGTTTATCATCAGGCCAATATCTAGCCCAAGAAAGAAGTTGGAAGCATGATGTACAGATCTGTATGAAACAAACGCTGCTTTGGCAGGAGACTTAAAAGCTGGAAAATATAGCTAACAGGTTCACAGAAGTGTAAACCCCACACTACCATCTTGAAAATTACTCTAGTGAAGTTATAAAACATATGCTAGTGAAGCAGCATATTCTTTGGCATAAGAACTGGTATGTTCTGTGAAACAAGTTCCTGAAATAAGCTTTTTATTACCCTTCTTATATGACAACTTTCAAGAATTTCTTGGGCAAATACCCAATTAAAACTAAAGGAAGAGTATTTTCCTAAAAAAAACAGTGAGCTTCTCAAGCATGTTTTCAACTTGCTTCATGAGATCTTAGGTACTCTGCTGAAACCTGTTTAAAAGTGGAGTGCGGTGAAGAACTGTTAAGTGTACTTTGGTCTTCAGACAGCATAATCCTGAAAGGGAACAAAGGCACTCGGAGAGCCAGCTCCCTACTTAGTGAATTCAGTAAGGCAAGATCTGCAAGACGTAACATCTTTTAATAACTTGTGATAGTCGTGGAATAAAGCGCGTTTTACAGACACAAGCCCTTCTCTTTCACATATACAACCCTCAGAACAACCACTGCAAAACTTTCTAGTTTGTTAGATTTGAATCACAAAAGTAAAGAAGTGGCTACTGAGGTTTTAAAAGAAAACACACAAACAAGAAAAATAACTTCTTCACATTTGTCAGCTTGAAGTAGTTTCAGCAACTTACCAAAATGAAAAACAAAAGCCATCATTCTATAGAATTTCAGAGATACTTTAAGAGATGTAGTCAATGACATGCACTATAAAATTAAAGGGTAGCCAACCACGGGAAAATTAGAACTTTAGAGAATGAAACCACTAACAGAAATCTCAGTCCAAGACCCAAAGGCAGAGGTGATATTTTAAATAGTTACAGCAAAGCTATATGAAGGAGCCTAAGGTTTAACTGACTGAACCTGTAGATTCGGATTTCAGAAGTCTTGAAAGGTAGAATGAAACAATGGAGACAACACTCCCCAGCAGAAAGTTTCAACCAGAGTATTTAAGCATGTATCAGCCAACTCCATGTGATGTTTTAAGAAAAAACATTTTCGTAGTTATACTAAACAAGCAGAGGTCCCAAATATGTTGTTTTTTTTTTTTTAAATAATTGTTTTACATAATCCTTGTCATGATTTCTGAAGACAGAAGATTTCTGAAGATTTTAAAAGGTGACTATATTACAAAGGAATTTAATTCTATTTATTCCAATTATATCCCAGATTTCTCTCTGATGTTATATATCTCCTAAAGTAAACAGTAGTAAATAGGGCTGGGAAAGATCAACTCTGCTTTTTTTCCCCAAGATACCAGCATTTGAATTTATCTTACTGTAAATTCTCAATTCACATACACAAGGTGGAAAAGCCGGCATATTTCCCGAGGCCATCACCTTTTAGAGAAGGCATTTCTGTTCAGCAACTACAGTGTCCAATCCACTTCCCTGTCCATCCATCTAGCTTCTCTACAAATGAAACGCAGCTGCAATCTTGTCAAAAAAGTGGTCAACTGGTATGACAGCTGATTCAAAATTGGCATCTAGCAAATGGAGCTTTGCAATCCATGGAGCAACGAACAACACACTTCTCCTACCTCGACATTTTGAGCAGTTGTGAATAACAGCGATACGGAAAAAGACAGGAGGTTCCACTGCAGAATGCCTGATCTCTGGGTAGATTAATAAAAGACGAATAAAAGGCCTTATGTTTCAAATGTAAGGATGACAGACTGTTTAAACACTGAAGGCCTTAGCAGGAATCGGACGTTTTGTTTTCTTGAAGCTCCTCTGGGAATTAGAAGCCAGTTGTTCTGCCTCATACATAACGGGAATGATGTAATTGGCCGCAGTAGTAAGAACACTCTGTTTTCAGGGGGAGGGAGACTGAGTTTCCCCCCCCGCCTTTATCTTTCATAACTTTAAGAAGAAACTGTTAGTGAGCAAGAAAGACAGCAAAATCTGCAAAGCGTATCCCTGAGCAGATCAGAAGGAAAATGAGCTATTTGAAAGACCCTTTCCAACAATTATTCCATTTTGCCTTCAAATGATATTTCAAAACAACTATTTCAAGACAACTATGTCTCAATGGAACCAGGACTTTTTTGGGGCAGATCTTTCTTGCTAACCAACCCATGACTGACCGCTATAAAATTACCTCCAGATTTTCAGCAGAGGACATTGCCCTAATGGGAAACACACAACACTAGAGAACACTTTGCCTCTTGAAATGCACAGAGTACAAATTCAAACCTCTGAAACCATGGCAAAACACTTATTTTAATTATTTTTCATCCAAGTAACTGCACTTTATAATGAACTATTGATCTTAAAATGTGTTTTAAGGAGTACACTGACTTCATCTCTAAAAGGGACCCATTAGCAAACAAGGATTAAAAAGCAGTATGTGCATGCATGTTTACTTTGAGGAAGTTTTCTTCCAAGATAATGCAGATCTACTCAAACATTTGTTTTGCTCCAACTGAAACAACTTCATTTGGTATAATTAAGTGTTCTACACTTATTAAGTTACCTACCAGAAATATCTGACTTAGGTGTACAATATATCTGTGGAATTAAGCCAGTACTTCTTTTGAAAAGACACAGAAATCAATAATCAATGCAGAACTGTATTTCCTGCTGCTATTATTATATACAAAGAAGTGAATATGCTACATATATATAAAATAATACGATGTACCATTTTAAATAAGCTATCATTATGAACATTTTAATTTTATATCCTTTTCTGCTTTAACTGTAGTCCTATGACTTTTTAACCTGCACAGAAAAAGAGATCATTCTATCCCCACTGATGCTAACAGACACAAAATGACCCCAGGATCTCCAAAAAGAAGAAAAAAAAAAAATATGAAGGAAGAAATAACTAATCCCCATCATATTTCAAAAAAGCTTTTGGAAATGCTGTGCAAATACCTTGCAGCAAAAGAAAGTATGTATCAGATGGGACGAGTCAAAATCAACAAGTTACCATGGCTTAACCAGTTAAGTAGCAAATGCAGAGCAAAAAACCCACATTTTCGTAAGTCTCTCTCACTGAGGTTTAAACCTAGATGCTTTACTTCACATCTGAGGCAGACTAAGACTAGACACATGCTCAGTTACTGCAGCTGAGCTGCAGCACAGGAAAAGGTGCTATTCATGAGTGAGCTAAATCAATCTAACAGCCAGCTGCCACAGCAAGGCTTCGCTGCTCCCCTGGCCACGGCTGCATTTTATTCCACATTTCCTTGTGCTCATCTGAGTCCACGGTGAGTCAGTCCAGAGAAGTAAACTGCAAACTACTCTTCGTTTCACCAAAATGTTTTCTGTGCTTTTGCTCACTGGCTCGGCTCACCACCCAGCCAGGGGGCCTGGGATCCTCTGCAGGGACAAGGAATTGTGCAAAAGCAGCACAGCTTTCAGTAGCAGCTAGCCATAAACTCAGCTGAATTGTATGATCAAGCTACATCCTTACTCACTTAATGGCCCCAGCCTGGAGTTATTAAGAATTGCTTCCAATTTATCTCCTAATCCATTTCAAGGCAACTGGTTTTCTGCTAAATAGCCATATATAAAGCAGGAGGCTTCATCCATCACCTATTTGCCTGAGCCCCTTCACAAAAAAAGGCTAGCAGGTTTAGGAGGAGGACTGCTGGAACTTGCAGTAGATCTTCCCTAAGTGCAAAATCTGTGCCAGTGATCAATAATTAACATACTTTCACCCTGACCTGTCAAAGGCTAAAGACAAACCAGACACATACGTTGAACTCGGTCCTTTTTTGACTGGAAATACTGAAACCATAAATAATTCTCATATATAATCCTGACATAATGTAATTACCTTCAGATGGATGAGCATCATTTCTGGGAAGCTTAGGGGAAAGAGGAGCAGTATATGGTGGAGAGTCCTGAGAGTATCGTTTAGCACTCCTGTTTTCAGGTATTTCTTCTTTTGCTGTGAAGAAGAAAGTCACCACCTCTTATTCTAGCAGAAAGTTGCTCGTGGGGAAAGTCCAGGGGCAAAACCAAAGACATATCAGCCACTCACCAGGTTACAGTTCAGTTTCTTGTGTCACACAGACTCAGTCATTTTGATACAAACTTCCAAAGCTGAAGTACAGCTTAGTTTATACTGTCATCACCCAAATTACCTTGACCCTGGCTACTTCTCTGAAAAGAGTTAAAACTAATGACTTACATATGACAGACAGAATTATAAACATAATTTCTCCATTGGAAAGGGGAAAAAAAAAAGAAAAAAAAAATTATTTCCTAAAGCAGCACCTGGAAGACAGACTCAGCTATCAGGCAGCTGTGAGGAAGCTTCACACCCAGTATGAATCTTCTGAAATTGCCCTGATGTCAAGGTTTTCTCAGCTATGGCTCCTGGTAGCCCTTGGGCTGGGACTTGTAATATCAGGTCCTGCAAACAACCTGATGGGAAATCTTGCACAAGTCATTTCATTTCCCCTTCACTCTACGCTCCCGGTGCAGCAGACAAATATATTGGCCTCATACAAAATATCACCTGCAAAACCCACTTTTTCTACTAGAAGACTGAATTGTGCATAGTAGAATGTAAAATTTTTGGAGCCATCACTGAATGGGATGAATAAAGAGGGAAGAAAGGACCTTTCACTGGTGTGGGAAGGGCTAGACTGAATTCCCTTTTAGGGCAAGCCCCTTCTCATAAGGCAGTAAGTATCTTTTGTAAGCTTATTTTATGCTCCGAACATAAATTTAACAAATGAAATGTGAAGTTTTGAGCTTGTCCTTTTAGCAGTATCACAGTGGTACAATACATATGTTTCCTGGCTTGGCTACAAGGAGGAGTTTGCTGAGCAAAATGATTTCTGCACATGTGGTATGAGCTATCCCATCCTGTCAAAGCACTACCGCACTGGAACCAATTCACTAAGAACTGAAGCGTATTCATTTCAATCAATTAATGTCATAGAAAGACAGATTAAAAAGTTACATTTCACAAAGCCGCCACACTTCTCAAAAATATCAGCACTTGAAAATAACAGTTGTTTAACAGTACCTGGTTTGTTCCTGTCATACTCTGTAGGACTGTGTGCACATCCCATGTAAGGGCTGAAAGGCTGGCTACTAAAGAGATTATCACACTGCAGGCTGTGGCAGAGTTTCTCCAAGAAGCGTAGGACAAATGATGCGCTGTTTACAGAAGGAAGATTGATGGCGTGCTTTTCCCCATCAAAGGAAGCTGTGAATAAGAAGATGATGTCAAACACCCCCCAAGCATCATGAGGTATAGTAAAACACCATCATTAACTTAAAGGAGAAGACATCCAGATTTGATTTAAACCACACAAAACATGAGAGGAGTAAACAATCATTCTGGTAGTTTAACAAATTTACATCCAAAGGACTGATTTTACCTTCTGTTGGATCCATGCCAGCTTAAATTTACTCTGTGGGAACTTATTTTAATAAAATATTGAATTCACACAAGCATAACAAAACTTGCAACTATTCCCTCATCACCAAAACCTTTCGTGTAATTTCTGTTGTTTGCTTATAAAACAGCAAGCTCTCCACCACCTATTTGCAGGAGATAACACAGAAAAGACCCTTTACAGTACTTACTAAAAAACCAAAATTTAAAAAAAAAAGCAAACAACTTTAAGATTTTTTTTTTTTTTTCAGTTTCTAACCGAAGTGAGCATACTTGTGGTAATGTGCTGGCATCCATTACCATTGAAATTCTGACTACAGAAACTGTTTTGTCATTTGCTATTTTATCACTAGAGAAATCCATCCTGCTGTCAACACTACAGTGGTCAAGCTCCCATTTATTTCAACAGGAGCTAGGTGGCAGAGATACCACAACAGCCACAAATGGATGTGGTGTCTTTTAAACTGAGTGATTACAAAGAGCCTGGACATGTGCCTATGTCTTTTACTTGTTGACCTCCTTCCTTGCCCCCCCAAACAGAGTGTTGCAGCTGATGATACCTTCCTTTTTTGTGAAAGTTAGTAAGATTTTTAAAAGACTCAATACTACCAATATACGGAGAAATAATTACCATTACATTAGCTGAAACTTTTAGTTACTTCTGATTAGAAAGACATTACGACAAAGCAGGAACAAACTTTTATCTTAAGCTTAGGGCTAGAAAGAAGCGGCATGAACACCAGGTTTATGCATCAATTTGTCTTCTTGGTTTTCAGCCTGTCATGCAGCTTTCTGTTAACATAAGTTTCCAAACAATACATAGAGCTTTAAAGGATCACATTTTGTTGGTAGCAGATGCATTTAAAAAAACCAAAACCAAAAATGACAAGAAAGCCTTTATTTACAGATCTGAATTAAGGAACATTTCCATATTGTGCTACAAAAGAGACAGATAATGTACACAAAACCAAAGAAAACGCCCAAGTTTAGCAGATTTTAGGCTTCCTTAGGAAATCAGAAGTGACAATTACTTACACTGTTGATGTAAGGAAGCTTCTGACTAGAGTTAATGCAAGTTAACCGGCTAGCATCAACAACAACATGCTACCTTTCCCATCTGCTTTCATGACAGACTGACCCAACGCAAGTGCTTAAGTTTAAGAGTCAGTACTACAGGGACAAATCCCGGACCAACATGTTTCCATGGCCCATTTGGTTTTTCCAGGCTCCAACATTCAAATGAAATGCTCATGATTCACAGTCCCACATGTGGCTCAGACACAAGGTCCTCTACCTCCTGTTTAGGCAAGGGGTCTCCGAAGGCAAATTTTTGCTTGGAACTCAACCAGTTCTGGAGAGCAAATGGGCTGTGAGACCTAGCACAGCCTGATCTCCTGACAAATTTACTGCAAGGTAGTAGTCAGCTACAGCAAAAATTTAAAATGCTTTATAATAGCCTTACGGATCTTCTTATATGACCTTAGGGAAATCACTTACTCTCTACGCCTTAATTTCTCATTTTGAAAAGAAGCATTGAAAAGAACAATATTATCTTAGAGTTGTCAGGAGGGTAAAGCAAGAAACAGCTGAGGCAGTGTGACTGCCCCAGCAGGACATACCATGGGAAAAATCCACAAATAAAGATTCAGTGCAAACACAGCTCCCTTGTACTCTGAACACCTGAGGGCAACCATACGAACTCCAACCAAGGGTGTGGGATCCAGATCCATAGGCTCAACTGTCTGCTCTGCTTGGGGACAACATAAGCCTCTTACTTCCCAGATAAATGCTAGGGGAAAAAATAAAAAGGAGTACTTCTGAGGTGCAATAACCTCAACCTTTAATGACAAATAAACAGGGACTGGAGCTTGCGTGTGCAATCCCAGCCCCCAGGATGAAGAGTCATTCTCATTTCTTCACCTTCCATTATGTAAGTATGTTTTAAACACCACGTTCAAGCCAGGAGAAAGGCTGAGAGCTAAACTATCAGAGAATTGTGTTTGTCCGATAGTGAAGAAACTCACCCAAGAGTCCGATTTTAATTCTCTGCTTGAGAAAATTTATCTGAGCCTCAGTCTATTTCATACCACCAAACGACATCGTCTCTGCACTACAAGGAGAAAAAAGGGGCTGACACCACCCCACCATTAGTGGGCTTGCTAATCAAGCCTTTAATTTCCTTTCAGTTATATTTGCCTGAATTGAAACCTTATGGATCAAGCAAAAATAAAACCATTTGTGCTTTTGTTTGAGTACGAAAAGATGGAAAAATCCTAAATTCAGTTCTATTCAAAACAATTATTTTCTTTGGCAGCTGAACCAAAAGAACCCGCTAATTATTCACATGTATTCTAACAAGATTATTTTATCCACGTCCTCATCAGCATACAGTTTCCTCCTACGGCAGGTATAATACTCGTCATGAAAGTATCAGTCCACAAAAGATTTAGATTTCTTTGCTTATTCTCTGCTGCAACATATTTTTTTTTCTTGCCAGTCTAAAAAAAAAAACAAAACTGAACAACAAACCCCACTCCAAAACCACTTTCAAACAAAAACTCTACAAGAAAACATACTCACAATTTCATTCTGTAATTCCTCATTTTATTCTACTGTAGCTTTCCTCTTCTGCCTTACTGTTCACATGCACAGCTGGTTGTAATGTGCTACGTTAACCTAAGTCACATTTTGTGCTTCTCAAAATACATCACACAAATTTTTGATAAAATGACAGGGAGCATTTGCTCACCTGCTTCTCAGCAACCTGTTTGACAAGCCGATGACAAGGCAAAAGCTCAAGAACACCAGAAACCCACTGGAGTCTTGTGGCTCCCTATCACCTGGACCAGGACTCTGCTTCAGGAGCAGTCCACATCACCAAGTTCCTCAAATCCAGGGCTGGTTTCTCTGAATCCAGGCCTTGGGGTGAAGCCAGGTGCAGAACAGTAATTCCTTTTTGTACAGAATTTTTGAATTTAAACAAACCACAACCACATAAAGATTCTGAAATTTCTTTCTCCTCTGAAATAATTCTTTTCAACTACTCGGTCACAGCCCAGATATGCCACTGGCCTAAATTTAGTCCTTCCTGATAAACAATCACAAACAGAATACTGGCAATGCACATCTCAGTGCATTTTGTTCAAGAAAATCGACTTGTCTGAATTAGGTACAGCAAGGTATTAATAATGTAATAAACTTTCATATATCTTGCAAAAATAAAGCAATATGGGTTTCAAAACCACACATATAAAATGCCATTAAACCTTTACTACGCAGCAGAGAAGCAGCATCCATTTTGTGAACAAACTCATGGGGATGCACAAGCAAGGCTTACTGTAGTTCTGCTATACGCAGGTCGGGGTGCTGCTTTTTAAATATTGTTAGACAGCAACATCTTTATGAGAATTTAATTGAACCTGTATTCCACTAATCATCTTTCACATCTGGTGTTAATGTAAGGAGAATAAAGTAACACAAAGTCTTTTTATCGCCAGTGATGGAATTATGAATTGATGTGTTAACTGCTATACAGAATATTTCCTAGCCTAGAAGGAAAAAAATGTCAAGCAACAGCTATTCAGTTTGAGATATAGAGATAATTTATCTATAGACCTGCCATTAATATGTAGCAGAAATAAACCTATTCCATAATAGGGGACATAGGTGGATGAACGCTGACCTAAGATACTGCTACAATTCTGGGGAATGGGGGAAGGGAAGAAGCAGCAACTTTAACATGTGGAATCACTTGCCTGGAAGCTAAACAGATTAGTTTGAAACTTTTCACCCACTTGGTTAAGGCATTAAGAACGCAAATACTATGTATGGATAAGATTATGCGAATGACTTGAATTAATAAAGCTGATATTTCACTTGTACTGGGTTTACTTGACAAATGTTTGGCTACAGCTGCTAAATGAGGTGCACAAGCTCTATTTAGTATAAGAATCTAACTGTACTGCGTATATGTAATTCAACACTGCTATTGCTAAATTCTATTTTAAAGAATTGTTCAAATCATCCTGGACACAGAGTGAGATAAATCACACACCACCAACACTCTCTTAGTAAAGGAGTTCACAAGTATATGTTCTTGACTGTGCTTAAATAGTTAAAGTGATATAAACTTATTGCAGCTACTTCGGTTCTTCTTCCCTACCTCAAGTTCGCAACCAAGTGAAGAAACAGAAGCAGCAAAGCATCTTCACATACCAGTTATCATTTCCCCTCCGTGATGGCCAGATTTCAGAAATCCAAAGACTGTTTTGGATTGATAGGCACAATCCACGCAAGCCTGTACAGCCTGCTGAAGTACCACATTGACAGGACCTGGTCCTAACCTTCTTCTTATCCAGGTGAGGCCCAGAATTTCCATGCTTGTTGACATAAACACATACTGAAAAAGAATAAGCCATATTCACTGCTGAGGAACTAAGACATGTTTCCAAGTTAGAACTGCACACCGTCTTTTTAGTTTTAATCTTGAGGAAAAGATGTACTGGTCAACTCAAGAAGCTGAACATGCATACATACCTTCAGAGCACGCAAAAAGTGCTCTCTCTGTCTTCTGTCAAGGTTCTCCTGCCTGAGTCCTAAACCCACTTCTTCCTGGTCTCTAAAGCCCTTTTCTACCCCACTAACGTAACAAAGCTGTCATAATCTGTGCTTATCTTTTGACTAATCGCTATTCATACACTAGTTCCAATAAAGCAAGAATTACTGGCAGGTACTCTAAACTACCAAGACGCAATTCTAAAAAGCTGGCCTTACCAAGTTACTGCCCTAATTTTTCTCCTGTTTGAGAATCTACAATAAAGATAACCCTATGGTATATACCTACCACTGATGCTCATTCTGAAGCATATAGCATTAACGAGTGCATCTATAATGATCCTGTGTGCATATATAATGGCTACTGAAGGTCTGTCCCTTCAGAAGCCGCGAACCACTCATGTATGATTTCCACACTGCAACTTGGCCTTCTCTGCTAAATAAAATAAACATAGTTCTCCAGAAATACTGTGAGGTGGTTTAAAGCTTAGCACAAAGCAATCAAATAGGACTTTTAAAATTACTTTTTATAGAGACTATGCAAAACTGTCTTTCAAAAGGAATGGCAAGGCAGAAAAACATGGGAAAAAGCCGTAACTGAAGATTTTTTTTTTTCTTTTTGGCCTTAGGGCTGTCACATGACCAGGAATGCACCCAAGACCTTATTGCAGCTTAATGAAAAAATGAGCCTCTATGGTAATTAAGCCTAAGCATTCTGTTATACAAAAGACTGCCATATTTTCTGAACTGTAGTATTATTTGGGCTTAGTTAAAAAAATGGATTTTTAAAAATGAAATATTTCTGTAAGTTTTAATGATCTTATGTCTTCATGCATATCTGCTCATTCTCTGATCTCTCCAAATTGGAAGAAAGCTATTTGTACAAATAATCAAAGACCCAAATCAGCAAAAATAGTTTTCATGGCATCTTCTGTCTGGGCTTAACAACAACTGCCTCCTGAAAGGTTTATTTTCCTAGGAAGCACATACATATTTTCCCCTCATCCATGGCTGAAGCTGGGAGTGAGAAGAGCCTGACAACTTCTATTGTAAAAACAGTTTTTAAATGTAAAAAAGCACTCCAAACAAAATTATCGTAATTCGTGGAGTTTTTAGAAAGTTCTGAGATTTCAGTTGACAACATACAAATTGTTTCACTACAGGGTTACAAATTCCTCAATGAGTTAGTTCATTAACTAGCTTATTTCTCTTTTGCCAATCCTTTTCAAGATACATTTCATTATATTTCAAAAACAAGCAAACATAAAAGGAAGGAGGAATGTATTTCCTCTGATTGCCTTTACTTGGTTTAAACAGTCTGAGTTGTTTCTTTTAATGTAAGGGTATACAGAGATAAAATCTCCATTTTGTTACATTACAGAACAGCCTGCACGATATCAGAATATCACATGGGTTTTCAGCTACATCTATTCCCATTTCATACATTAAGGAGTGGGACAAACATGAAAGAACTGTACAGTTTCCTTCTTCAGACAGGAACAAACTGCTAGGTCTAGCAGATCTATCAAAAGCCCCTGTGCTCCAGCACTTCTTGCTATAATGCAGGCATCAAAATACTAGTTCTGCAAAGTAACACTGGCATCTACAAATATCTTTAAAAAATAAGGCAGCTGGATAATGATTTAGAGTAGTAAGTTTGCAGCACATTTTCCATAAAATGACACTACTAATTTGCTTGAAATGGAAGCCATTTCACACTAAAAATGTCGTTAATTTTTTTCCTTGTCTTTTACCTGTGGATATAACTGCTGCAGTTGCACCAGACAAACTAATTCCATCTTTAAGTATCTGCGTAGCGCCACTGTTCCCCTCAGGAGAAGAATGAGGAGAAGGAGATGCAGGAGTCAGTTGTTCCGGCAAGATTTTTTTCTGTTTAGAGAAAAACCCCGAAGTCAAAATGTTTAGTTTTTTAAGGAGTCTGCAAAACCTTTCTGCTATCAGTTACCATCTTACTGAATGTGTGTGGTTCCGTATTACAAAAGTACTACACACAGCAGAGAAGATAAAGTCCGGGAAAGGAAGACCAGAAACTGTCAGTTTGCATTTACAGCTACTTAAGTAAGACAGTGGAAGACAAATGACTTAAAAAGGAACCCACCTCTATCTGAAAAGTGGGAAAGAATGAGCTTTATATACTAATTCATGACCCTTCTAAATCTTAGGAAGCACAGAAGAGGTGTTTTGGATTCTTTTCCTGTCCATACCCTTCCAATCATCTGGGTTTATCACAACTCAAATCAGTTAGTTGGGTTGTGTATATATTCCCATATAAAACTTGAGTCACATTTAGGTGTCAACTTTACAGTGCACCTAGATTTCCCCTCAGCTTGTTTCAAAGCAGCTGAAATTCTCAAGTAATCACTTTCAGGAATTGGTGCTTTACACAAGATATGAAATAAACCAGTAGTCACAATCCAGTCACATGGGTTGCCAAAACCTTTTCCTTTCCCAAACCGAACTCATTTGCAGCTTATCATATATGACAGACAACCAGAGTTTGCAGCACAAAGATTTAGAAATTGGCCAGTGTGCATTACCTTCCACCTGAGGAAATGAGAATTTTGTTGTAATTTAGTTTGGAGTGGGGTTTAGAAAATGCACAAGGAAGGCACTTCTAATGTGCTTTGACACGCCATGAAAATACATGGAAATAAAAGAAACAATGAATTAGAGAGAAGTTCATCACCCCTCCCTTCACCATTTATTCTTGCATGAAAACAGATTATGTTCTCATTCTCTTACCTACCAAAAAAATTAGGAATATAAGAGATTACCCAAGGTCTTGACACTGCTGAAGGCAGCAGAGACTTGGCTACTCATGTGGTAAGGATTTACTGATAAATTTGATCTATAGTGAAGTGAATATTCAGTCATTAAGGGAGGCTAAGCCCTCTTCCATTTAGCAGTAGTCATCCTTTACACTTTTAGAAGCAGCATATTTTCCAAATAATATATGAAAAATCATGTAGAAAGGAAACAAAATATACACCTTCCTAGGAGCAGCAGTGCTTAACTTCTTCACAACACCTATAAAGAATAAATTAACTTTCTTCTGAAATCCAGGGCACTTTAAAGAAAATTTCTGTGCCCCTTACAGTTCAGAGAAGATAGGTTTGGCTGGAGAAATTGCTTGACAATACAGCACTGGGTGGAATCACCATGAACATCGGGAATAGACTGCCAAGGCTTGGCATTGCACTGTGAATGAGACAAGGTGGCTCAGGTCAGACACTGAACCAAGCAGTGATGTATTACTTGTCAGGAATTGCCTATGTACCTTAACATTAGGTGACAGAAAGGTCTCTCTCCATCCTTAATACAGAGAACAAAAATACACTTGGAAAGTTTGAGCTTTTGATCTGAAGTCTGACATTCCTGAAGGTCCCCCTGGAGCAGGGACTCTTTGGGGGGGCAGTTGTCTGTCACCACGCTGCAAAATACGAGTGGTCGAGTTGAGGGGAAAGAGGAGGAAATGGGAGAAATGTAGGCATGAAAACAAAATACAGATACTAAACTGTAAGACAGAGGAACTATCCTCTCTCCACACTAACACATAAGCATAGTGAGGCTAGCCCGCCATTTCCTACCTTCTCCTTCAGAAGGAGGAAAGAGCATGCGTTTTGGAAATACAGCACGTTATACTTGCTCAGCCGAGGTTCTCATTTTGCAACCCCAAACCGATGAGCAGCAAACAGCAATCCCAAAGCCATGTTGTTTCACGAGGCAGGCCACGTTCCCAGCAGGGCTCAGCACATTTGCTTGGTCAGGGTGTCACCGGCTGGCCCCTGCCAGCTGGGAGGGCACGCCAGCCCCGTTTGCCTGCAGAGAGCACTGCTCAGTCTGGCACCACATGGCCAGCTTCACAGGCTTTACACTGACGCTTAAAAACTCTCTTCTTGTGGGGTCGAATTTAGGGCTGTGATCCACACTCAGACCAAGACACTTCCTCAAGAAATTCTGGAAGGAATTCTTTGCGTTGTTATGCAAAGCGTACTTTTAAAAATAATGAAAGAGATGTAAAAGAGATTTCTTCTTCATTATGACAGAGTAAAACCACACAGGGCAAACTGCGGGAGACAAACAGAAAACAAAGCCCAACATGCATCTCATATTTAGAGAGAAGCTTAGAAAACTTCTAAATAAAGAAGACAAATGACACAACAGCTCAACATCCTTAGCTGTATAATAAAAGTTAATACCTGCACAATGATAAACATTGCAGCATAACAAACTTAAAAAGGCAAAGAAAGTCAAACAACTCTACAGAGTATCAGGCATAGACCAACCTCCCTAAATACACAGGTTTTGAACTACCACATAGCCAGCTCACACTTGAAGCACAGTTACTTAGCCCGAAATCTGGAGGGGGTTTTTTGGATCGGTCAGGGGAGGTAGGGGGGAAGCACTTTCAAATCCCCATGCACATACCACTTGCATTATATTTGCATATGTATTGTGAGGTATACAGGCTGCATAGCACTCCGTGTCAGATACACCCTGTCTGTGCAGAACTCCCACAAAGCCATTTCCTCTCTTCACCCTTATGCTAACAGGTGTCACATATGTATAACATCTTGGCAATGTAACCATGTACCAAAGCAATAACAACTTTCCATGGATTCTCAAGAGGAGGTAATTTTAGAAGTTTTTAATGCAAAAGTTAAAGTAGTAAAATTCCCAAGTTACATATATCAAACTTAGATTCTGCAAAACCTAACTCTTAGTTGCCTGGTCCCACGGAGGAAGTCAGGAGTGTGTAGAGGTACCTCAGATTCACTGCCTCAAGATGGGGGGTGTCAGCAGTAACCCTCATTCCCCAAGCAAATCCCCACAGGTACCTCACACAGACCAGGTGCCAAATGCAGTGCTCCAAGCAGACACTTTCAGACACTCAGTGTTTAGAGCCCAGAAGCCTCCTCTAAGGGTGAGATGCCTCCAACTATTCTTTCAAAGGATACACAAAGCCTCTCAATTTCTTTTTCATGAGACACAGAGGACAAAACTCTTACATGAAAGACTAGGGCGCATCCTGCCATACCTGAGTACGTCCTTAAGATATGAAAGTCCTGTATTCAATGCTCTCCTTTAAAGCCCCCCAGACTTATGGGGAACACCCCAACCACTAGCTGAGTCTGTATGGGAGCACCCTTCTCCTCTTTAATTTGTGTCTCTGTACACTTTTATACACCAAGCAAGAGATAAAGCTGGAGATCACTTGCATCAGTAGCCTACCAGTTTGGATGCCCAACTGGAAGGGGCAGGCATCAGAGGAGAAAGCGCTCGGCTTTCTATTTCTGGTCCCCAGAATCATTTCTTACCTTGTGGTCATAATTTCAACAAAGTGCCGGCTTCCAGTTTTGTGCCAGAGCCTTCTGGGTATGCTCTAATAATGTTACTTCACTAGCCCTTTACACTGATCAGCACTACTACTGAAGGGAGAAATCCCACCTGTGCCATTACTCCACCCCTTCCCACACATCACTAGCAATAGATCCCATAGCCCACAGTGATCCGGACTAGAGGAGAAAACCCCCAAAACTTCAACTTTTTGAAACTTGGGGGTGGGGGGAGGTGGGGAAGCTAAAAAAAAAAACCAAACAGAAAAAACAATGCCCCCCATTCCCCCATTGGTGCTAATGCAAAGGAGGGAGGAGCACAGGGACAGACACAAATTGTCTGGGGAAAGACACTGCGGGATTGCTACTCCTCTTTGACAGCCTGCAGTGGGTGAGCAAGCCTCAGAAAATAAATTGTACTTCCATGGCAATTCAAATTGGCCTAAATCTGCCCTGCTGTGATCCTATCCTTCCTTGCAGCAGCCGTAGCATTTGTGCTTTTTTGGGGTGGAGCAGACAAAGAAGGAAGTAAGAGGGATGGATGCTGAGTTAGTTGTCTACCAGTTTAGTCCCTGGAACTAGCTCACTCTGGGTTTGTTTACCCACTAGTGTTGGTGTCACATGGGAGTGGGAAGGGGGGGGTTACAGCAGTGCCAATTTGTACCTGATCAAACAGCTCCAGAGGAGCTGAAGCTGGAGGCAGCTGCCAACACACCAGGTCTGACTAAGCTTGGCAGGGAGAAAGGCAGAAAGGCATCACGTCTTTCAGACCAGGGCAAAATAAGGCCCACACCTGGAGAAATGTATTGCCTGAAAAGAAGCTTCCTGCTTCATGCTAGTATCACCAGGATTAGGGGGTATTTAAGAGATTTATTTCGCAAATCCAGCTGTATGCTTAAGATGCCTAAATTCTGCAAAGCCTTCACTGTTCCTAATCCTTTGTTTCTAAACACGAAACAAAAAAATTTTTTAAATTACGCAAACCATATATATGGTTCAGTAACAAAATAACCCAGACTAAAAAGCCTAAAGGCTTCCCTGGCTCTTTTAATTTTACTGGAAATGGCTATTCCAGAATAGTATTTTTCAACACCAACAACTCACCCATAAATAAATTGGTAATCTTGTTCTGGAATAAAATAATCCACAGAAGCTTATACTGAAATATTCCAGAATAGCTATTCTAGACTTTTTCTTGTAATCAGTTGCTGAAAACAGTAAAGCCCTGAAGGCTGAAGAGAAGACAGAAAATTAAATAATAATAAAAAAAATCTCACTACAAAATTTTGCAATATAGAATAAAGTAGTAGATAAGGACTAACCTTTTTTCCAGGTTTTAAACTTTTTTTCCTTGTTTTAAGATTTTCAGTATGAGAGGTGCTTTTTGTCAGGGGAATATTTTTAGGAGACCTGCCCTTCTTGGGAACTGCAGACTGTCCAGGGGGTTTGCCCCGACCTGGTTTCCTGCCCCGTTGCGCTGGTACTGGAGCAGATTTCTGTGGAGACTGCATTGAACGCCGGGTCACTTTGGAAGGGGAAGATTGGATTTTTGCACTGCTCTTTGTAATGGAAACTGAGGAAAAACAAAAACAAAAGGGAAGGGGGGGAAAACCTCAAAATGAACGATGGAAAGCAACTTTTCTAACAAAGGCTTAAAAAAATAAAAATGTAGTGCACAATTTACATCGTAAAATAAATATACTTGGATATTTTGAACTTAAGTGGTTGGCATGAAACTATATACTTCATTAAAGCCAAAGAGAGAACTCTTTAAACTCATTCTTTTAGAGGGACTTTGCTAAGAGAAAAACATTCAAATAAAAATTAAAAAAAATTAAGCCACTCACCTTATAAATGCTTCCCATAATATAATTACGATAAGATGTTTATAAAGTGCCATTCATCAAGAAGGCCTTCAAAATACTTCACAAATTATACAGCCCATAATACATCCATTCTCCTCTAAGAGCAGTTTCCACGATTACAAGACATACCAACTACTTCTAGGGAGCTACAAACCAATTTTGAGCAGCAAAGAAAATCACCCCACTGAAGAGGAAAAACTAATGATAGGCAAAGTATCATTAATGAGCATTTTCTGAGATGCCAGTTTAGAAAGTTAAGTTCACGTAACTATATCCAGATTTTTCTACCTGGAGCCATCTAGACTTAAAATTTTATTTGGAAGAAGGACTTCTAAAAAAAAAAAAAAAAAATCAAACACAAAGTATAATTTTTATTCATTCTTAACACTGAAGTGGTTCTCTATTGAATCTCCCATCCCAATACGAAATTGGCCCAATATGTGTATGATGTGACTGTTATAATCTGGTGTGACACTGCAAGATGCAATCAGATTTCACTGAACAGAACTTCTTAGCAATCTTTTCCACCCAACTCACTCTTCTCTGAATAATGATGATTTTATTTTAACAATTCCCTTTGCAATGGACAGATTAAAACACCAGAAGGATGCCAAACAGAACCTACGGATAAGGACATATCCTCAATGAAAAGATGTACCACATCATGCTACAGCAGCACCTGTGGCCAACAAAGCAATTACTAAGTCCAAGAGTCCAACAAATATTCTATTTTGTTGGCCTGATTGCTGGCAGGCAGACAGATGCATAAGTTGCAGAAGAGGTAAGTAAAAGATGAAAATGGGAGATTTTGTGACATCAAACCAGCCTTGTTGCGAGAGGTGTGGGAAAGGAACACACAACATATTTGAAATCATTTGAAACCTTTACACTAAAATTAGATGTCTTTCTAGTATCACACTGCCCCTACCACAGCTTTTCGCATCTCGCTGATGGCAAAACTCCCGTGATTCGCCCTAACCTTAAATATTGTGAACTTAACGTGACACACCTTATAAGTATTGCAAGTTAGGGTTCAAGCGGGCTTTGATTGCGCCAGCCACCAGTGCCTGATCCAAAGCACTACTGCAAACTGAAAGTGGAATACAGGGGGCTGCTAACAGTTAATTTCCTGGATTTTTGTGAATTTGGAATATTTCTTCTCCTAAAATATTAGTATGTTGAGGCTTTCTAGTAAGCAAATAAAACACAAAATAAAACTCAAAGATACATTTGAAATGAGATCTTGAGAAAACAACTTACTTAAAGATTCAGTAACAGTTTTAATGTCTAGCTCTATGAGTGATACTCACCTTAACAGACCAGCACCTAGCTTTACAATGGTTACTTTAACTCTGAATTTTTCTTCAGGAGTTAACTGGTATTAAGTATTTGCAATAGAAAATGTCACAGTAAGATGAAATACACACTGCAGACAGACTTCTTATACAACACAAGTATACCGACACACACTTTTAAAGCTGTAGGAGCATTTACATACATTGCTATCTGTCTGATTCGGTTACTAATCTAATATTCCTAAATGGCAGTTCAGAAGAAATCTCTTCATTATGTCTGATCGCAATCCTAATACATCAAATACAGACATGATATCCTTAGTTATCTGAGAAGGACCAGCTTCTATGTACAAAGTGATCACTTTCCTTTTATTTATGTATGCCAAAACTTATTTTCATATGCAACGACAGCTTAAAATAAGATGAACAGAATTTTAACCAAATGCTGGCATAATATTGCTCTTATGTCTCTGAGTTGCTGAATGACAACTCGCATTAAGCTGTATGTCTGGAAAGCGAAACAATATCAACTATATGCTGTACGATACAGTACTACATATTGCATCCTGTATTATGCTTACACCAACGTAAAATGCAGCTATTTTTATTTATTTGTGCTGCACAACTATGCATTTAACAGAGCAATCATGACCTTGTAAAGAAATGTTTCACAAATTCTTTGTGCCTCTGCCTGTGCTGAAATCTAGCAAAGGCATTTCTATTCTCACACAGTAAAGACACAGCTAAGGTTAAATACACAGCTAATTGCAATGTCAACAGGTTCTAGGAGCACAGGTATGAGTTTCGGGACACTGGGCAATCCCTACTCCCTTCCAGAAGGACATTTACCAGACAAAGAGTAACAATGCAAACAGCTCCAACCACTTCAGGCTGCCCTCTTGAACCACACACATCAAGTACCCTCATCTCAGCATCTTCCTACCTGTATACGCCAGAGAACCAAATATTAGCAGCATTAACCATTAAGGGGGGGGTCAGGTCCCATTTGGTATTTTTCCTTCTGCCTAGGGCTGAAGCCGCTTTTTTCAATGGGCAGGATTGCAACAAAGCCCATGCTGCCTGGGCAGCCTCCCGGAGATAGCAGCAAATGAGGAGGCTGCTATTTGCATTTGTTGATTTAAGAGAGGATGGGGGGAGTGCAAGGGAGTGGGAGACCGCTAAAGTAATTCCCATATTGTCTGCAGGCTGTATTGACAGTGATCATCAGTCACCTGCTCATACTTCCTTCACCCCGGCCTTCAGAGGGAGACCAAAGGTTACGCTGGGTCACAGGATCTGGAGGGAAATGAAAAGACATGCAAAATCGAGCTGCCAACCCACTGCATCTGTAGACAGAGTTATCCCCACTAGGCCACATGTTCCAAAAACTAAGACGTTTTAATAGTCTCATGAGGACTTGTTAAAATATAACGACGAAGAGAATAGAGAGGAAAACTGCCAAGCTCTGCTTGCAATTACTGCAGTATTTAGCTGGGATATTTACAACCAAAAAAGCACATTTGCCTTTTCAGGATGCTGCTTTGCATCACAAAGGCCTTCTCATTTGCACAAACAAAATCAAGCATTTGTGTTGCTCTTCTACACAAATATCCACTGCTTCAGTTTCAGGAGTGGGATGCATTGCATGGCGTTCTTTCTCAAGTCTTATTTACACCCAAAAACCATACCGGTGTCCTCAATAACTGAAGAGCAGAGATCACGCTACACAAATATACTTCACCATAGTAATGTTAGCAACTAAATGGCATTTTCAACATTCACAGAGCTCTACTTATACTGTCATGTTAGTGAGGGCTATAGGTGACTACCTTCATGCAACATACAAACACAGCTTTCATACTTTCAATTACTGCTCAAGCAAAACATTTTCATTTTCTCCCCAAGTAGGTTCTGTGAGAATCCCAAAACCTACGAACTTTTTATCCAACATATGAAAGAGAAACCCCAAACCCAGCATCTTGGAACTCACGGCCTAAAGTTGCATTGCCACAACTCAGTCCTCATTCACACAAGCAGATCCACCAGAGTCAACCGAGCTCATTTGCATGAGAAGGACATGAAAGATTAGACTTTAGATGAGGGCAAAATTCTGCTTGTAGAAGCAGAAAAACTGCCCAGACACATTCAGGGCTGCAAAATTTGACGCCAGAATGTTATCCCCAAGATCTCTTGCCAGAATAAGTCAGATATTTAAGACAACTGTGAAATCTGAAGCTACTGAAACCTCCAGCGCTTGGGAAGGGGATGGGACAGATGACAGCTCAGAAGCCTGAATTCTCATGCAATTCTACTTAGTAAAATTCCCTCAAATAATCCACAGTGACAGTTTCACTCCATGTTTTTATGGAAAGCGAGAGGAAAAAAAGGTTCAAATTTGTAACATTTAAACATCAGAAATCAACCACGCAGTGTCACAGAGAAGCAATTACAAGACAAGACTTTAAAAAGCTGAAGTGAAATTACACAAAGCAAGGTAGGGGCCTAGGGGCCCGTTTTGCTGTACATTCTGTGAACACAGCATTGCTACCTTAGGTGAAGGTGCCAATTAGGACAGTTAAAAACAGTAATTCAGTGTTTAAACAAGTATTTTTTTCAAGACAGAAACAATTCTATTTGCAGTGCAGTATTGTTCCTGTGCCCCCACTGAGATGCAAGCCAAATGTTCTTCTGAGAATATAACAACTTGGCCCTTCTCTCATGTACAGATAAAAAAAAATGAGGCGAAGAGATTTAGCAATTTATGCTAAATCCATGTGAGCATTCCACAGCAGAAGTAATGGAAACATACCTCCTGAGTTCTAGCCCAGGATTTTAACTATGAAATTAACCTTCTTTAATACAGTAAGTTATTATCATGATAGTTTTGACAACTGGCAAAGGAGGTGGAAAAGATTAGCAATTTTTCAAAACTGCTTATTGCCAAGGATTATAAAAATTTATGTCCTTATGTCTCAATTGAACAAGACAGCCATACAAAAGCATAAGAATCTGTAATACATGCCACCTCTTCCTATCTGTGTTTGGATTACTTCTAGTTAAGAGGTAGCTGCAAGATACTAATTGATATGTTGCTATGATACAAAATCAGTTATAAGTCATCATTTTGCTATCTAAAAAGCAACACTGCACTTGGAAACTTCAACATCCACCTTGGCAAGACATGGACATTATGGCTTGCAATTTTCTTCTTTCTAGATTTTAGTTTCTGCTACCAGTATAAGAAAAGAAAAGAAAAGAAGTCATCTCTTGCTATCTTCTGTGAATAATCCTAGCCTTCCTTTCATAGCCCTGAAAGGTGAAAGAGAGGGCTCCAAACGACATAAGACAAAACTGGAAGAAAGGAAAGTATTTCTTCCCCAGGCAGCATTGTAGGACCTTCGTTCCCTCACCCC